ACTGAGCAGATCAGGTCTGAAAACCACTGTGAGCATATGGAGCACTTCAAACACTCAAAGCCTCTCTGGGCCTGAGCTGTGGTCGCACCCATGAATTATAGAAATGATCTAATTGTTTTCTCATTTGGAAATACTGGGGGCCCTCCTCCCTGCATCTCAGGTTTTAACGGCCTGTGGTTTCCAACGGGGCACATGATTCAGTGCTACCTACCTCCAACACGTTTGTCGAATCCAAGGTGGTCCGTCCTGTCAAAACAGAGCCGTAGCTGGGGTATAAGTCAAACCTGTTGCAGTAAATTAACACGTAGGCAAGAGAGGTGAGGGAGTTCGATTTGACTTCAAAGAGGAATAGTTGCGATCAGAGGAGGGAGGAGGGGACATGTGGTGGTAAATACACATAAAACAAACCTGGGATGAAAACGTCCATTCTGGGTCCTCAGAGAATGTATGGAAGGCCGTTAGTGCCAGAAAAACGAAATAAATAGTTGAAAAGATAGGAATAACAAAAGTAAAATACTCAGAAGTAAATATTATGAGTATGTTAAGAATTCAACATTACTGAGTCAAAATCTTAACTTTGTGTTAATTGTGTTAAGTGTAATTATGACAAAAGCAGTTTGGTGAGTGTACAATCAAAAAAAGAGAAACCAAAGAATCCTGCATTCAATTTATGAAATACAAAGTTATAATTATGACTCAACCAAAATTTACATAACAAGTCAGAGAAAGATATCATAATATAAAACAATACGAGAGAATTTTGATGAGATTCTGGCAAGCACTCACACACTCCAGGGTTCCCACTCCTTTTAAGAAATTAATTTTCCAGGGCCTTTCCAGTTTTCTTGACAATACAAGACAGCACTTGTTAAACTGTCATATTATTTACCGGTAGGCCTAGTATTTAAACATTTAAGTCCAATTTTATTCCTCCTTTTTTTACTGATGCAGGTACATGATGAAGTGGCTCAGGTTTATGACAAGTAGGTGTTTAGCATTTATGAGACACTCATAAAATGAACCAACTTGCCGACTAAATGCTAACTTTTCTGCTGCGTCATCCAGTTAATTGATTGAATTGTACTAGTTTTCCTCTAACTGTAACATTTCTTTGGTTCAAATTATGTAGAATTAATTTTATTTTACATCAAATTCATATCCTGACCTAGTTGCCAGTTAAAAGTAGAAGCAGAAAGTGTTTGTACAATTAACATCGCCATACACGTATTTATCAATGTCAACAAGACAAAGAAGGGCTGAAATAAATTACAATTTTCCAGGACAAAATAGATTCCCAGGATCCCTTACAAAAAAACACATGAATTTTACATGTAGGAAAGATGCTACCACATGTTGCAACACAATCACATAAGTTTCACACAGTACACCACAAAAATGTTCCAAAACCACGACAAAAATACATGCATGTGTGGTCATATGTGAACACATGAATTTCACACGTTTTTGTAAATGTGAAATTCAAGTTTTCCTGTGAAGGGATATTTGGTCTGGTTTGCTGAATTAGCTTCATTCCTGAATTACATTAACATAGTACAGTTCACTCTATCAGATTTGATATTGTTGCAGGAAGTTTTAAAGGTCAGACTATTTCTTCAACAGAAAATAGTTCCAGTGATTCCTATTGACAATGTTTTTTGTTGGTTGTCAAGAGTAACATCTTTTCATTTCATTTTTCATTTATTTCATCTTGCAGTGGTTGTTACACAGAACCATCTGGGAAGTTGTTGGGAACTTTTAAGAAATTGGTAGGCACTTAAAAAAAAAAAAAAAGAAATACTACTATACTAATACCTGTTGATCATAATTTTTTTTACAGGCAAACTGCAACCAAACAGATCAACAGACAATATAGCTTCTCACTGAGGCCAGTCGGGAGAAGAGTAAAGACATCTTTTCCATTTAGAAAATAGTTCAGTGCCGCTCTTTGTTCTGTAGCAGCGGTACCACTGTTATTTGACATACAGTGGGTACGGAAAGTATTCAGACCCCTTTAAATTTTTCACTCTTTGTTTCATTGCAGCCATTTGCTAAAATCAAAAAAGTTCATTTTATTTCTCATTAATGTACACTCAGCACCCCATCTTGACAGAATAAAAACAGAAATGTAGAAATTTTTGCAAATTTATTAAAAAAGAAAAACTGAAATATCACATGGTCATAAGTATTCAGACCCTTTGCTGTGACACTCATATTTAACTCACATGCTGTCCATTTCTTCTGATCTTCCTTGAGATGGTCCTGCTCCTTCATTGGAGTCTAGCTGTGTTTAATTAAACTGATTGGACTTGATTAGGAAAGGCACACACCTGTCTATATAAGACCTTACAGCTCACAGTGCATGTCAGAGCAAATAAGAATCATGAGGTCGAAGGAACTGCCCAAGGAGCTCAGAGACAGAATTGTGGCAAGGCACAGATCTGGCCAAGGTTACAAAAGAATTTCTGCAGCACTCAAGGTTCCTAAGAGCACAGTGGTCTCCATAATCCTTAAATGGAAGAAGTTTGGGACGACCAGAACTCTTCCTAGACCTGGCCGTCCAGCCAAACTGAGCAATCGTGGGAGAAGAGCCTTGGTGAGAGAGGTAAAGAAGAACCCAAAGATCACTGTGGCTGAGCTCCAGAGATGCAGTAGGGAGATGGGAGAAAGTTCCACAAAGTCAACTATCACTGCAGCCCTGCACCAGTCGGGGCTTTATGGCAGAGTGGCCCGACGGAAGCCTCTCCTCAGTGCAAGACATATGAAAGCCTGCATAGAGTTTGCCAAAAAACACATGAAGGACTCCCAGACTATGAGAAAGAAGATTCTCTGGTCTGATGAGACCAAGATTGAACTTTTGGCGTTAATTCTAAGCGTTATGTGTGGAGAAAACCAGGCACTGCTCATCACCTGCCCAATACAATCCCAACAGTGAAACATGGTGGTGGCAGCATCAGGCTATGGTGATGTTTTTCAGCTGCAGGGACAGGACGACTGGTTGCAATTGAAGGAAAGATGAATGCGGCCAAGTACAGAGATATCCTGGAAGAAAACCTCTTCCAGAGTGCTCAGGACCTCAGACTGGGCCGAAGGTTCACCTTCCAACAAGACAATGACCCTAAGCACACAGCTAAAATAACAAAGGAGTGGCTTCGGAACAACTCTGTGACCATTCTTGACTGGCCCAGCCAGAGCCCTGACCTAAACCCAATTGAGCATCTCTGGAGAGATCTGAAAATGGCTGTCCACCAACGTTCACCATCCAACCTGACAGAACTGGAGAGGATCTGCAAGGAAGAATTGCAGAGGATCCCCAAATCCAGGTGTGAAAAACCTGTTGCATCATTCCCAAGAAGACTCATGGCTGTAGTAGCTCAAAAGGGTGCTTCTACTCAATACTGAGCAAAGGGTCTGAATACTTATGACCATGTGATATTTCAGTTTTTCTTTAATAAATTTGCAAAAATTTCTACATTTCTGTTTTTTTCTGTCAAGATGGGGTGCTGAGTGTACATTAATGAGAAATAAAATGAACTTTTTTGATTTTAGCAAATGGCTGCAATGAAACAAAGAGTGAAAAATGTAAAGGGGTCTGAATACTTTCCGTACCCACTGTAAGCTCATAGCTTGAAACCTGGAAAGATGGATTCTCTCATGATCTGGTGATCTTGTGAGTCCAGCTGTCTCGCAACGTTAGGATAACTCAAAACCTGGACAAATATTAAAGTTCGGAAGAACAAAAGACTTGTGGTACATGAAACTAATGAGACAAGTTTGAGTTCAGTTACAACAAAAGTAGGGCTGAAGAATCCTGTGCACATGAACCCATTTAATGTTTCAGTCCTTAGATGGTGAAATTAAGATCCCTTTTTAATTTCAAATTATGAAATTTTGATAAAAATCAAAATGAGATATTTAATTTTACAAAAGGTTCATCAGAATTACATAAAGACTCATAATTTAAATTTGTCTCAGTTTAGACTCTTAAAGAAATAAGTAGGTTTTTTCAACTTATAACAATTTTAAACTTAGAAGTCAAAATGACTATCATGATTTTGACTTATAGGAGTCGGATGTAAGACTTTTAGTTTAAAACATAAAAAAAATACTAAAATACAATAACAGTTTTGACGTTCATGTATTGTGTTGTTAGCAGGACCAGTCTGACATATTGACATCCGAGTTTGACGGACATCGGCAGGGTGGCTGGCTATGCAAAATGAAAATAACTTCAATATACAGTATACTGATTTAATATACATTGATTTGATTTAATTTGAAATCAACAAACACTGATTTAAATGAATAGTACCTGATGAAAATATCTGATAGTAGCATATAATACTCATTACTGATAATATATTATGCTTTACAGTTTTTTAATCACAGTAATTTTCCCCTCTGTTTGGCACAAATGAGCTTCCATACTCTTTTAAAGCATATCCCAACACAGAAGCGCACACACACCCTGCAGTAAAAACAAAGGGAACACTAAATGGAGGCTTTTGCTCAGTGCTGCCTGCAGCAAGCAGCTTTGCTCAGCACTCGCTCTGCCTCGTGCTTCTTAATCAAAACTGGCACCGTGGCAATTACCTAATTAGACATCAATTAATCCACACCCTTCAGGTCTGCAGCCAAGTTTGACCTGAGGAGTAATGACAAAAATGCCTTCGAAGAACGGAGAAATCAGATTAATGGAAGCCAAGCGGCAGAGGTTGCGCTGCATTTGAGAAATCTCCAGAAATATACTGCAGTTAATTTCATAATTAACAGGTAGGAATATAATTGATTGAGACACGAAAGCTTAATCACTCAATTCAATAACCAGGATATCAGTTGAGTAGATTAATTCAATTCTGTAATTAAAGCCGAGGGAAAGGTGAAGCATTAGAGTTGATTGAAGGTTAAACAGCAGACTCACCTTTCTCTCTCTGTCGTCTCCGTCCACTGTGGACATTTCACTTCAGATTCTGACAAAAAACACACACTTCACAGTCTGAGCGTTTGGTTTGTCTTTTTTATTAGACATAGCAATTTCACAAACAGCAGTTAGCCTGAAAATTACATTCAAAATGTGCAGCTGACCATGCGCAAACACTCCAGATACACCTTCAAACAAAAGTAACAGTCAATCATGTGTTTGTTTTTTTCACAATCTGTGTATTGTTTTAATTCAAATTTACAAAATCAAAATCCTCTTTCACTAGTTCACCATGAAAGCATACATACCTGTCACTATAACACATTTTAACAACTAGTTTCTGTCACTGTACATATGTTCTGAAAGGTTTGTAAAGGCTCTTCTTTGCATTCTAACACCCATACGCTCCCATACATCAACCTTTGAAATATTCTCAGTACCAATTCCCATTCTCTGGATACTCTTTAACATTAGCTTAGGTGAAGAGAAGGGTCATCTGTCAGAGACAATTCATGTAAAAATCAGTAACACTGCAGTTCCCAGAAATCCACTTTTGCTGTTTTCCAGTACAACCAGGACCTCGGTGACTTTCCCTGCCACTGGAGAATCCAACACTGAAGTTCACATAGGAGCACAGACGATGACCCCCGGCAGCTTAACGGAAACTACCAAAGCACGTAAGACTACACGACACACAGTTTGTACAAAGTGGCAAGACGAGGATGCTTCCGCTCAGGTTTTATTCCATTTAGGTTAATTTGCTCACACACACACACGGAGGGTCTGTCCTCAATCATTCAAGTCACAGGACGCTCATGTCACAGGGTTAATGCTTAACACTGGTAGAGAGGGGGGAGGTGGGGGCCGAGGGAGGAAGGGCGGTGATGTCACTTAAGGGTTAGGGTACTGAAGTTGGGGGACACAATCTGTAACTCCAGTTCATCCAAGTGCCAAAAGACAGACTGTTAACATAACACTGATTATTTTTTCCACCTAATCCAAAACCACGCACGGCTGACACATCACAGACAAAGCTCCACAACGCAGAAACCTATCCAGTCCAGACTCTGTTCCTTCCCTCAGCGGGGTGATGAGGTTTGCCGGTTTGGCTGCCCTCCGCCAAGGTCCGGTCGGCTTCCAACCAGGAGGCGAAGGGTGCCACCGGCTCCGCTTTGAAGTTTGAAAATTACTGGCCACAGGGATCCAGTGTATGTGAAAACACCTGAATACTCAAATCCACCAAAATCACACGGACGTCACCACGGCATCACTCTGAAACACTGTCCATTGTCCGGCCCGCTACTCGCAGCAGGAATGGCAACTGAAAAAAGCGGGTGAAATCTGTACACCTTTTTTTTTTAAATTCATCTGCAAAACTTCTGTAAGTGCAACACTTTACGTAAACTGTCCCGCAATGAATGTGAATTCGATTTTTTTTCTCCTAACTGCTTGGTCCACAGCAATGTTCAGCTCAGTCAAAGAAAAGGGGGGAAAAAAGGAAAAGAAGCCCGTGTTTGAAGAAGCCCTGCATCCTCTTCCCAGGTGGGTGCCTCTACCTGCCGAAGATGCTTTCGTACTCGAGCAGTATGAGCTCCACTATCTGGTTCTGGTAGACCATGTGGACCGCGATGTTGCCCGTCTCAGTCTCGGGCCGGAGCAGCGTGGGTCCGAACACGATGGCCACACTCTGGGTGGTCATGCGGTTGGCCTCCCCGTGGTCGATCACCCTGGGGGGAAAGTGGCGAAACATGAGGAGATTTTCAGATGGAATGGGTCATAAATGGCTTCAGGTGAGCGTGGATTTATTTGACAACCTTTGGTTTCAGAGAGGCTTCGGGCTTTCATCAAGAAAAACAACATTACACATCTTTAGGGCTCGAGCGCTGAGGCAAGCCTCGCAAGTTGACGCACACTCTGTAACACTACTGAACGCTCCGGGCTAGAGCATAATAGCCTTTTTAAATAGAATCTACATCCTTGCATGCAGATGCACAAAACAATAACATATTCATAGAAGGGAGGGAAAAAAAGGAGATTAAATCCGCCCGCTGATATACGTAGACCTCCATACACTGAATGTCACGCTATAAATTTCCTCAAGAAACAGCACTTCATAGGTACTGAATTACAGCAAACACAGCGCCATATAAATGCAAATTGGAAACCTAGGCAAATGTCATTGTGAACATATGATATTGCCACTGGCTCCAGTGGGCTAAGAATACACGTTAAACCTGGCTGCAGTTTGTGTTTGCCCACAGGCTGATCAGTCTGAGGAAAGGTAAACACAAAGTCAAACAGGAGTTCATATACACACAATAAAATATCCCCAGTGCCATTTGTGACCCAGTGCTTGTGCACTAGTTCCTTTTTTTCTTAATAATTTGCATTGTATTGAGTTATATAACTACAGAACGTACAAAAACCAATAATCAGATGCCAATCCCATGGACAGCCAAAGGCAAATCAAAATGTGAGTTCACCATATGAGAAAAACAGTCGAACTGTCCAATGTAGATCAACAAAGATATTGACATTAGAGATGGGAATTGATAAGATTTTGTTGATACCAGTCACGTTATCAATTCTGCTTAACCGTCCAATTCTTTGTCGATTCCCTTATTGGTTCATTTATTAGCTCTGAACACAGTAAAAGAGTAGAGTTATAGTAGTTTGAGTGTTTTTGTGAAATGAGGCCACACTTGACAAGACTGTCTCTTCCTCTCCTCGATGACTCCTTCTTGTTGCATGTTTCCAGCAGTGTAGACACTGTGTGAGTTTGCAGTCATTGTTTTGAAATGTGCAACTGTTGGCATTGATAATACGAATCATACGATTCTGATGGGTTGGAACCACTCAACGGATGTGAAACATAACTTTCAAAGCCACACTGTTACAAAGCGAGTTAACCACTGACACATCCTTTCCAGATCTTTTAAAAGACGTGCATAAAATGTGAGAGGAACCCAGGCAGAAGTTTGTGGTAGGCGTCTGTCTGTCTGTCTGTCTGTCTGTATGTATTGGGGAAACAATTTATGTTGTTCACAATTTTTCTTTGGTACTGATTTTACCTGGCTGTAGCTGTGGCTGTTTGGTTAGCTATTCTTATTTAGTGATAAGACAGATGTTTTGACTGATCAATCTAATATTATATGATATTGTAATAGCAGTTGTACAGTTTCTCCACTGAAAATATTCAATTTGGTCCCTGTTGGATATTTCAGAATGATCCATAATGGTGCCAATAGTAGTTTGTTGTTTTGTTAGTTTCTTTAATTTCACTTAAACAACTAAATTAAATTAAATTAAATTAAATTAAATTAAGTTAAATAAAGATCTTTGCCTTTATAAAATAAAGTCAAACAGTACAAGGTTTCAGATTTTATTCAAGAAATATAAAAATAATAAAGATATGTATAAAAATAATAAAAATATAAAGATTTAAATGAGGAAATCAGGACATAAATAAGCATAAGAACTCCAAAAAACTAATTAATGGTAATAATATCTAAAAGACATCACTGTGTAAATGAAGCAGATTAATAAAAGTGCTTTTGCTCTTTTCTTACCTGCGCAGGTGTTTGAAGAGGACTTGCATTGTGTCGTGGTTGGGTTTTGGCAACTTCTTTATTAAGTCTTTGATTGAATTCACTCGCTGCTTGTAGTCGGAGCATTCTGGAGCACAGAAACAGACAGCCAGTCAGTGAACGCACATGAGTAGAGCACCATCTTGTGGCCAAATTGGGGCAAAAAGTATGCACTCTGAACACAGTGAATCAGGTCACTCACTGATGGCGTTAACAAAGTCATTGAAGGATCCGTATGAGAAGAGAGGCTCAGGAAGCTCCCTGAAGAGCATCTTGAGAGCTCCGGTGGTGACGTGGATGTCCTCCCACTTACTGTCATTCAGATCCACCTTCTCATCTGATGGAGGGAGGGGAGAAAATAGTGTTTTCTACAGCAGAATCTCATGCATCAACATATGTGTGTGTAGAGACTGTGTGTGTTCTGTGTGCTGAGAGCTTCGTATGTGTCCCACAAATACCATCTGTGTCATCCCATATGAAAGGAGCTATTTCTTTAGGTCCGTTAGTGGTTGGAGTCCTACCGTGATTTACAGCAAAGCGGAGCTTCTGGATCACGGCCAGGTTCCCGCTCACTCTGTACAAGCCGTCAATACTGAGACCTGCGGGAGAGGGGTGAGAGGAGGGAACACTGTGGGTCCCGACATGCCGAGCTGACCTCAAACAAACAGCGCCAACGAAGGCTGACTGATCCAAACACTTTGCATTTCCTTGCATCACCTCATGTCTTCTGTTACAAAGGCACAGCTGAACACAAACAAACATACAGCTGACGACACGCAAAGATGCTCTGCATCAGTCGTCTGTAAACAGCCTTGATATAAACTTGAAATATGGATAGAAATTATGTCACAGAGAAAAAGTTGCAACACCAACTGTTAAAAAATCGTGGTGAAAAGGTGGAAGTGAAAAATAAGTAGAAACTGCACTGCAATTCAATACAGGGCTTTCAGCTGATGCAAGTCGAGCTGAAAATGATCTGAATGGATTCACCCGTAGCCTTTATGTAAGACAGAATAGAAGTCTGAATGAGTCACCCCTTCCTCAAGCTGAAGTGGTTGTACTGAATCATCAGTGTCACTGAGCGAATCAGTAGTTTTTAGTATTGAAGCTCCCCTCACTGACTACAGTACAAGCGGCATTGTCAGCTCAGCTTTATTACACAGGATGTTACCTACTGGTTCAAAGCTTACAGAAAGAACATCAAGTCCACTAGCAGATAGGCTACTGCACTTTTAACCCTCTAAACACTGGCTCTAGGTCTGGGTTTGTACTGAAATGAACAACCAGCCACAGACTGAACTTCCTGCTGGACAGAAGCATCATAATGTCATGTTATAAACGGTGGTGCATCAAACAAAACAATTTAAATCAACAAAGTGTTTCGGTCATTTCTACCTCAAAGTCAGAACTGGAAATGAGAACCAATGAGCTCAGATAGTCAGGTGGGTGTGGCTCATACCTGTGTTCTCCACATGGTCGATGCACATTTTGACAAAGTTGGGCACCGATGTGTTCTCCCGCTGGCACAGACTGGTCAGACTGCAGCCAAACACCTGATCTGTGAAGGAGCAAACACACACACTGGTTCTTAACTTTCACCTGTCCAGTGGACACACACCCTGCTGCTGGCGTCAGGGTTCCTACACATTTTCCACTTCAAGATTCCATAACTTTCCAAACTCAGATTTTCAGCCTTCTCTGTAGGTTTTTCTGACCACATTTAACATTAGAGTATTATGCAATTAAATAGTTTTAAAGGTCCAGTGTGTAACAGGGTAATGTTTTCACTAGTGTATAATCTGTGTATAATCAGAATATAGGAATTGTTGTATTTTTGTTACCTTAGAATGAGCTGTTGTTACAGGGTTCTCACTCTTTTTAACAAATCATAGATAGATTTGATGTCAAAAGTTCAGCTCTTGGCTGACATGGGAGCAGAAATGTGTGTGTATGTTAACCTGCATGTGTCATAGCACGCAGCTTATCCTACCAACAGTCGAGTTTCAAACAAAATACACACCCCAGTTTTATTCCAGAGTGTGGAGTGAAAATACAATTAGATTTTTCCATGATGTTTAGTAATTTTAGTCCATTTCCAAGTGTTTTCCATGACTGGAAACCAGTCTCTAAATTTCAATGTTTTCGTGATTTTCCAGATTTTATCTATAGAAGCCGCAGGTCACCTTTCAGGACCGCCACGTTGACCGGCCATGTCTGTTTACTTTTCTGATAACTAATCCTAAATGTTCAGACAAGCTTAATATTTGGTTATAACTGCCCATGCACAGACAGCAGTACTATTTCTACAAATATGAAAGTATATCAAAAACATAATTAGTATGATAATTAGCCTTCTCTGGGGCAGAGCTGAGCATACTTATCCAGACCCGGCAATGACTCAAATCAAATTCCATACTTTTCCATACTGCGTGGGAACCCTGAGCAGTGACATGTATCCATACAGGAGTTAGTCTCCTACCTTTGATGTAGCCCTTGTCTCGGACTGCCTGATAGGTGGGTCGACGTATCAGGAACTTCTTGAGCTTCATTCTGGTTTTCTTCTGGTCTGATGAGTCCATACTCACAGAGGTCTTCATCACTGAGGAAGACAGGCAAGATTTGAGTGCATTTCAAACCATATAGAGTATGCTGTAGGGACATCAGCAGTCTCTGTCTGTCTCACCTCTGTTCTTTTTGGAATCCCGGTGGTCTTTCTCCTTGTCCTGTTTCTCAGCTCCTGGAGACTCTGGCATGTCCTCCTCAATGGCCTCGTCTGACTCCCAGGCCTGGATAGGAGGAGAGACACATATGGACTGTTAGATACATTCACATTTAGATCAGCTCCAACTTATTTTAAGGCCCATTTACCCTGACCAAGCATACAGCATACTCGGTTATATTCAACTATTAAGTGAAGTTACTCTGGTTTGGACTTTTTACTAGTGAAAGAAGTCTCCTCACATGTGTGTTGATGGTCTCTGTGAGGGCCCGGTACCAATCGTTGACGACACTGTCGATCTCCGACTGAATCAGCAGCTCCGTCCCTTGACGAGTCTTCAGCTGAGGGAGGGAAAGTCGACATCACTTTTTACCAGAACCATCACATTCAAACATATATACGGGCTGATCTAGAGTCAAACTCCACAGCAGATCCACTGTGTCCGTTACCTCGATGACGTGTTTCTTGCTCGATTTGTCCTTGGAGGCCCACTCCACCGACCCCCCTCGCAGATCGACGGTGAACTCGGGCTTCGACTGGTTGCTTCCGAACTTCTGAAATCAAGGAAACGGTATGAGTCTGACGCAAAGATGATGTAACAGGGACACGCTGTTGTTTTAGGAGGATTTTTGTCTTAATGTTAAAAACAAGAAATCCGAATTTCAAAATGGGATATGAATTTCTGACAAGTGTCCTCAGCATTTTTAAAAGCACAAACACTAAATGAAGCAGGTGTCACATCCTCAAACACTTAGAATCTTATTTTGGAACTCTTCATGTATACACACATATTTAGTATTGTGTTACAAGAACAGCAAAAACACTGTTAGTTGTTATTTATATCATGTGCATGTTAATGAACACAAAATGTTTTTGGTTATATTCTTAGATATAAAATCCAAGCTGTTCATTGACTTTCACAGTCATGTGATATTTTAAGCGTAAACCTGCTGGGTGTAATGCAACCTTGAGTGGCACACAGAAGATTTTTGTGGTAACCAAACAACAACAATGTTGTTACCATTCTGCTTGTGTTTCCTTCCCACCATTACTGTCGAACTGACAACTGACAACTGACAACTGACTGAATTCTGACTTCAGACCAGTGTGCTTCTAGTCCTCCAGGTCAGGGCTCAGCAACCTTTACTATCAAAACAGCCATTTTTGGGGGTGTTTTTTCTGGAGATGCAAAACATGCCAGTAAGCCAGCAGCATTGGTGGTGAAAGCAAGCGCTCCACGTACTATTACATTCTCTTTTTTCTGCCGAGACTTTTCTTTTGTAGGATTTGGAATCCATAGCTTGCTGTGTAATGGCTACACATTTTTAGAATTGGAGAATGACTGTGAATGAAAATTACTTTAGGTCTACAACAATGATAAATAAAATAAAAATGTTTAAAAAAATACCTGTTATTCATTTCCATATAATGTTTTTGTCAAAGCCACAGTGAGCCACTGGAGAGAGCTAAAGAGCCTACCCCTGTTCCTGGTTATCACACAGAGCTTAAAACCTAAACTGACATTGACACTGGTAAAGGGCCATCCTTGTGTCCTCAGGGCTACAGTGCTAAAGTTGGACAGCAATATCCCTGTTTGGTATCGAGCTTGGGACCTTTGTTGCATATCTTTCCACATCTCTCCTATCAACAGGGACTTTATATCTTACACGTTTTCATGCAAATCAAGAAAATAAATCCAAGTGAAATTCTATTTTACAACCTTTCAAAGGCTTTAATTTAATCTTTCCATCCAACTTAACCAACACTAACTGATTTATTTGCCACTTGGAGGAAGGGAAACAATCTGTAAACACATTACTGACATGTATTATCACCTTTTAAAGTCGTTATGGCGAACACGTTAGCCAACTGCCATCTCCACAACCAGCAGGTGCAGAGCAACATTAGCATTTATTTGAAGTTGTGTTTGTGTCCACATGATGACTGCATTTAACTCTGAGAATAATATCTATTAATAATAATATTAGCTTCAAGATGCTATACTATGCTCACTGTACCAGCTAGTTGCTAACTTGGTTTGGTGCTGAGCAGGTAGTGTACTGTTTGAGTATCAGAGCTTTTTGGCTGAGAACAACTGCCTTCCACTTCTGGAAATGCTAATGAGAGTCATGAGAGTGAACCAAAGCCAGAAAGTTTTGGGCTGAAAAACCAAAACAATAAGCTAAAAGAAGCTAAAGCGCTCTCTAGAGCTGAGGGGATTCTGGGAAGTGAGGTGATATTTCTCTGTGAGTTTATTATTACAACCCAACACATAAAGGTAATTTATCCAATGTTAATGTCAAAATATCAATTAGTGCAGCCTTACATTAGAATGAGCTAAATGAAGCTTCACACACACATAAACACATAAACACACACACACACACACACACACACACACACACACACACACACACACACACACACACACACACACACACACACACACACACACACACAGCTTTCTCAGTCAGATTAAGCAGAAGTGAATGAAAGAATGAAAGACAGGGGGTAGCAACACGTGCAGAGAGAGGGGACATACAGCGGCAGCCTGCACAGGCCTACAGTTCACATAGGAGACAGCAGGGCGGGGCTTGACTGAGCGCTTCCAGTTGCTAAGGAGCGTGAGGAGCAGCTCAGGGATGGAGCCGCTGCGGTAGTAAGACTTCAGGAAGGAAGAGAGGAAGGGGGAGGAGAGGGAGAGAAGCAATAAACTGAGGATGACACATTTCACAGCACAGGTTGGAATGAAGACAGATGACTATGCAGAGATAAAGAAGAGAGAAATAACACGGAGAGGAATGGAATGCTAAAAAAGCTCTAGCCTCTTGGGGGCTGCTGGGATACGTACCCAGCTGGTGCTGCCTCCTTGACCCTTAGCAAAGAGCAGGGAGGAACCCTGCAGCACTGTCCACGAGGAGGTCCAGTTCTTCCTGTATGTCACAATCAAACAAAGACACTGAGCGTCTGGGACTACAGAAAACTCTCCAGGATTTCTGAGTTTCACGTAGAGTCGTTAAGATTCCTACCTGACTTTCTTTCCATTTTCTGTGATTTTGGTGACATTGAGGACACCGCACTTCTCTGACGGCTGAGGAGGAAGACACAGATGCAGATAAGAACCTGCTAGAGCATGAAAATACACACATACACACACACACACGCTGAAGCTTGAGAAGCGAATGGGATAATGTTGGAGGCCGGACGTGGCTGTGCTGCTTGATGTTATACCCAAATATCACCAGCAGATGGCAGCCTGACACTGCTGCAAAGTATCAAAATTGCTGCATTTCTGCTGGTAGGACTGTTTTGCCATGGTGTTAGATGTGATGTGGTTTGGTTAGACGTGGGATGTGGCATGCAGCTGATGAGAGAAACCAAATGCAATGCAGACGTAGAGAGTTTAGAAGATGTCTGTATTCAGATGCAAGCAGGATGATGATGTAAAGTGTGGTGTGATGCAGTGCAAGCTGGGATACTAACTGTCGAGGGATGCTTAGGAGATGAGGGGCAGGAGTCAGAGTCTGGAGAGCTCTGCTTGGGCGCCGGAGCACACTCCTAACAACAAGAGGCACAACATGATGAGTGGCTAATAACTAGCAGCTAACGAGGAGATACATGAAGACAGTCAGTCTGAGGTTAGTGAGGAGAGGAGAATGGATCAGAAACCTGGAGAGGAATCACAAGATAGTGTTAGATATTAGGGTAGGTCATCAGAAGATAAGGATGAAGGGAAGTTAGGTGCATGCTTTTGAGCATCTGAGGGAAAAGTGCATTAGATCAGTGTTAGAGAATGATTCCAAGACGCTGCTTCCTTCCTGTTTATCAGTGATAAGAACAAATCAGACGTCTTTGATTGCCGTATTACCACAGCTATTTAACAACTACAATTTAACGTTTATCAAAACGGATCATCTGTTGATTAGAGAGGAGGGGGGCCGGAGAGAGGGGAGGCTCTGCGTGGTACCAACTTTATCACGGTTAAGAGAGAGACGCAATCTCCTCTTGTGCGAGTGGGGAGTGAACCGCCAGAGTTTGAAAGAGAACTGCAACGAAAGCGCCACACAGTTAGCCTCCCATATGTTCTCCTCACTCTGAGTTTAAAGTTGATGTATGACAGAGTTCATTAACATTTAACATTCCTTTCTGTTTAAATGCACTGCACATCATTTTACAGAGAGAAAAAGAAGAAATGAATGAAATACTTCAAGTTACAAAGATGCCAAAAATAAAATATGACAGTAAAGTTTAGGTTGCATTATGGGGCATGTCGGATCCAGTGTTTTTGGAGCTTGACTCATATTAGTCAGGATATCTCGGCTTCCGTAGCTCCACTTTTGACCATTTCTTTTAGATTTGTCTCTTCACAACGTTATAAGAGCGCAATACTACAGTAAATCACTAGCGCATTATTTTAAGACATTATGTGTGCTGTAGTGGATCACCTTGCTCCATGAAAGTTATCTTAATTAATGCAAAACAGAAAGATCGCCGTCACTGTCTGATAACATTAGTAATGCACCAAGATCGTCAAGATTCCCAAATAAAAGAGAAAGATTAAGCCATTGTAAGCCTTTTCCTCTGTAGAGCTGAAAGGGTCATTAGTGCTTTGGGATTAAACTCACTGCCAATAAGACAGGTCATGGAAAGACCACATAAAAGCCTGTGGCGACAACAGTGTCTGTGTCCACACCTATCAGGCCCAAAAGTCAGCCATCTTCATCGTGCCTTACCTTATCGTTGAGGTCTAAGACGTAGGTGCTGTGTCTCCACTTGGTGAGGACGATGGGATCCTGCTGCTTCCTCTCCAGACTGCGACTCTTGGGAACCTCTCCGGACTGAGGGGAGATATTGTACTGTAGAAACAGAGAGGAGAGCAAACGTTTAGATGTCAAAAATTGCTAGATGGTAATTCTAGCTCACCCTTCAGTATCTTTTCTCTCCTCGCCCCCTACCTCTCCTTTTATTCTCCACAGCACCATTGGACAGAGGGACTTCCCTTACAGCCCAGGCATCGTCTTCAACAGTCCCCAGTAAAGTCCACTGAATATATCCATGCCCGCACTACTGCCCATTCAGCCTGAGAATGGTTTCTGATCTGCTCTCTAGATTAGCAAGAGCCAGTAATAGTCCGCCACCCACAGTTCAACACAAACTTAGCTCCCGTGTGAGCTCCTCAGACACTCATCCACTTACACTGACAGGACCAGTCTTAAGAAAACACACCAGGGGGGAGGAGGAGTCACATACATGTGTGTTACTGGGTCGTGGAGTTAAGTGATATAATGTGAGAAGATCTTCCATTTTCAAGAGAAGGAGATTACTTAAAATGGGCTGTGAATGGAAGACAAGAGAACATGGAGAGCTAATGTTCATAATATAATCTCACCTTAGGCAGCTCCCATTCTGACCTGGACCCATCAGCACTGTAGTAGTAAGGCCGGCCTTGTTCGTCCACATGTTTTATCCACTGCGAACACAAACACTAGTCAGTTTTCCAAACAGAAGGAAAACAGTATTTACAATTTATTTACAAACAATATACAGATACAGTATGCAGGGGTGAATCTAAACATGATCGACCCCGGGCCACTGTGATCAGTCTATTATTTGTGTGGTTAATCAATAGACTTCACCTTCTCCTGTGTGTATTCAGAGACGTAGAGCGTGTGTCCGTGTTCATCCAGCTCCTCAGACCAGCCTCTAGGGGGCGACCCGTACTGGCTGTCGGACTGACTCGAGTGGGTGCTGTGACAGTTCTCCTCTGAGGACAGCGGCTGACCGACAGAAGAACAGGTTTTATGAGCCATTCATGAAGACATTGTGAACCTTTTACTTTACTTGAGTATTTCTGTTTTATGCTCCTTTAAACTCATCCTTTAGCAGTAGGACCAACAGCCAGTTAGCTTAGCAGTAATGTTACAAAGACGTGTTATTACGTGTCCCAATGCTTTTCTTTCCAAGACACTCCCTGCGTAGTATTTAAGCGCTAGGATTGGCCAGGAGCCCATGCTCGTCAGTTGACATACACAAAGCTTACCAACAAAAACTTTATACGTAGTATAAATAGCAATAATCCATGTCTACCTAGGAAGTAGTTGTGGATTAATGGGTTAATCACAGGAATTGTACCTCAGAACCTGGGGTTCGATACCCCTATTTTTCAGACTTAGCTGATTTTTGGAGACGATATGGTTAGGGTTGGGAAAATATCATGATTTGGATTAAAATTAAAACCATTTCACAACATTAACCACTTGTCAATGGTCAAGGTTTGGTAATCCTAGCGCTTGAATGCTACGCAGGGTATGTCTGGCCATGAAACACAGTGAGAGCCATAAAAATGCTACAAAGACAGGAAAACTGACAACAAGGCACAATATAATAAGGTATTAATAAGTGTCTTCATGTTTCCATTCTTGCTAAGCAAAGCTAACCAGATGCTGCAACTACAACGTCACCATGCTGCTTATACAATGATGCATCTGTAATAATTACGCCTATAAACAGACTGATTAATCGGGCTGATCATCTGGCATTTCAAGATAACTGGAATCAGCTGATGAGGCCGATAAACAAAGAATGTCAACTGTCAAAGACACGTGCAGGTACCGCTGTCAGCGTGGCTGCTGGGAAACGATGTTACCTTGTGAATTTTGGGAAGGTGGTGATACCAGTCAGGTTCTGAAATCTACAGCATAAACCAATGTTTTTTTCTGTTTCATTAATAAAAACTGTCTGAAACAACATGTTACTGGTCAGGATAACCATGTATATTAGATTGTAATAAATACTGGAACTATACATGACTTTTCTCTGTTTTGATATTGCCATCATATATCATCTACTTAAAAACCTATATCGGTAGACCACAAATTATAGCTTCTACTTATAATAATTCTCGCCATTTAATACTGATATTTATTATACATTATAAATTGATTAATTAGTCTATTAATATATTTATTCATAATATAATGATATAAAACAGAAAACATCATTAACCTATCAATTTAGCACTCATTATATTCCAGTAATCCTATAATTAGCCATCCTCTCTCTAACATAATACTGCAATAAAATAAACCACCACACGGGGGCAGTGTTTGATAGTTAGGCAGGAAACTGCAACCTGACAGGAAACCATGACTTCCCCATATCAAAGGCGCTCTTGTTTCTCTACCTTCAGTAACCACAACACCATTTTAAAAGCCCTTTGAGGTCCACCACACCTTCACCGCAGCCTGTTTGTTTAAGAGCGACTGCCAGAGAATCCAATCACAGACTGTTTATGTCCTCCACCACTGTAACTTCAGCCCAGACTTTTTCTCACATACAAACTGAACACCTGCATCGTGATCACACCTAGTGTTTGATTGAGGGGTGGAAAAAGACCAGAAGTCTATGTGTCTCACAGTTCGATGTCTTTTTACAGTCCATATGAAATGCAAGCACATGAAGAAATGGCTTTATCTGGCTCAAGCATCCCTCACCTCACTCTCTGCTGTGCCCTGGCCGTCTCCTCGGATGCTGCTGGTGCTCCCGCTCGTGTCTCTGGTGCGCGGCGGCTTCCAGGTCCGCTCTCCGGTGGCACGGTTGTAGTAGAAATGCCTGCCGCTCAGGTCTTTGTGGGTCTCCCAGTCGCCCAGGATGTGGAGAGGGGAGCTGGAGGGGACGGGCGGCAGACTGGACTGAGAGATCTTCAGCTCCTGGAGGTTGGTGTAGACCGGGGAGTCGGACCGGCCCTGACCTGTGGGTGATGTTGTCTGGTGGAGGGAAGGAGAAAAGGAGAGAGGTCAGATCACGTACACTTCTGCACGACTCTTTTTATTAAAGATCTGAACATTCTACTTTTTCATGTTTTTCAGCAGATACTCCCTAACGTCTCCAGAGACTTTGACTGTCCTGATTTTCCCCTGAAAATTGAATGATAGGAATTCCCTAACCAGAAAGAGCCCTGAAATCCCACCAGAGTCTGCTGATACTTCTGAGATATAAGTATCTGTAGGAATGTTGGTCCTGTCCAGCACAGAAACCAGCAGCTATCACATCCTGGACCGGACTATGGAATGTAACCGTCAAACGTTTGAATCACAAACATGCACATTCAGCGGCAAAAATCAGACCTGCTGTACATAAACCCAACTTCTCTTTCTAAGAGCACGAAGGTGAGGCAGTGAGTTATGAGTCTCTGACGGTCTGCACGGCAGGATGCAGCTGCTGATCAAATCAGACGCCACATGTGGTTTGCAGATATTTTAAAACCATATCAATCCGATTCTAATCATGGACTCAGCACAGTTACATAATCCTTTATCCGTCTAAACCTAGCCCCTACCCCTCACCCTGTCCAGCACTACTTAGCTTCAAAGTGTTACAAAGTTACAAAAAGAGCAGCTCAGATTAATCAATTACTTGTTAACTATTAAATTAATCAATTTAAGTAATTTTTTAAGAAGAGGTCTGTTTGTGAACATCTTTAGTTTTCAGCCTTGACCTCTGAACCAACATAAATCCCTGCTTTACCTAAATCCCAGATCTAAGCAGCTAAAATAACTATTTTAAGTACAGAATGCCTTGTATGTCAAGAGTAAAACTTATAAAAGTCCTGTAAGTGACACGGAACCGAAGGAGAGAAGCTAAAATTGGACCAATGTGCGATCTATGCCTAGCTTGTGTTAAAAGCTCTGGGCCAGCTAGAGAACATATACAGAGGCAGGTGATCAAAGTGTTAGTGGCGACCAGAGTGAAAGCAGCGCAGGGAGCTGCGCTGAGCAGTCGTACAATGAAATACAAGCCAGGAAGTGCAGTAGCAGCAGTAACAGATAATGCGTTTAAAGGCTTATCAGAGCAGATTTTACAGCTCAAGTTATCAACGTGGCAACTATGTTGTCTTTCGATTGCGAGGTAGACGAGATAATCCACCAGAAATGTGAGTTTGCATGAGTTTGTTTTGCTAACGCAGCGCCCTGCCGGATGATGTTGCATTGTAGACAGAGTTGAGCCAGGTTCAACTTTTTGATGGATGACCCTGCGCTGGCACCCTCACTTCAAATAAATGACGTGGCTTAATAAAGAGACGTGACCTAATAAAAGCATGCATGACTTTTTTTTTAAATATTTATTCTTCGTGGGCTTTTCCCCTTATTAGATAGGAAAGGCTGAAGATATAGAGGACAGATGGAGAGGGAGGGATGACACGCATCAAAGGGCCAAACCCATGGCTGCTGCAGCAAGCACTAAGCCTTGGTTCATGGGGCGCCAGCTCCACCAGGTGAGCTATCTGGCTGCGCGTAAAATCTTCTCTAAACAAATAGACGAAGTCATTCTCGTTAGCAATGATACAGAATCTACAACGAGTGAGTAGATAGTTAGAGCTGCAATGATTAGTAGATTAGTCGTCAACTATTAAATGAATCGCCAACTAGTTTTTATAATTGATTAATCGTTCTCAGTCATTTTTGGAAGAAAAAAATTATTATCATTATTTCAACACTTATTTTTTGGTTTCTTTAGTCCACTATGAATAACACAAGACATTTGAGGACATCACCGTGGTCTTTGGGAAATCAATTAAACAAGAAAATGATTAACAGATTAATGGATAATGAAGATAATTATTAGTTGCAGCCCCACAAATAGTAGATTCAGTATTTTGACAAGATACTTGTTGCAGTCCCTTTTCTGTTTTCCGACAAAGCAAGCTCCTTGGCAACCATGCTGGCCATAAAGAATGCTGAATATTGCACAAAAAAGGTTGGTTAAAAAAAGAAGAAGAGTGGGGAAACAAGCAGAATGTATGAAATGCATAGAAAAGAGGAAGTGGAGGAGATAAGATAAGAATCTACATCTGAGCAAAGAGCTGGTGTCAAGTGTTAATAAATAGAAAACTCAATGAGTAGCATTAGAGTACTACAGAAGAATTATTAAACAGCCTGCTTTGTGTTGAGAACATGGACCAAATGTACTCAAGTTATTCCACATCACTTAGCTGCATACATTTGACTGGACTCACTGCAGTTTTCTTTTCTAAATGACTTAATAACCCGAGTCAACACAGTAAACTCAATCACAAACGTGGCCCCGCTGTGTCAGTGCAGACAAACTTCAAAGACAGTGATTTTTGAAAACTTGGCAGCATCCGAAGGTCACTCCACAAAAGCCAAAATGCTCAGTTTCCGTGGCTACAGCTCAGCTTAACGCCGTTGTGAATGCTTCTGAAAAATATTTTGGGGGCTTTGGAGTCTCTGAGACGGATGCCAGCCTTGGGTCTCTCTAGAGGAGATCCAGCACCAGACATTCTGTGAAACACAGAGCAGATGAATAGCCGAGCAGAAAAGAGATGGATTGGGGGTTGTGCCAGCACCACACCTCCCCCCTCGGTTTGTTACAGGTGAGGAATGTGGGGGTGGAACGCACTTCAGTCAGGAGGATTTGAACCGTTTTCAGGACACAGATGGGACTTCCTGCCGCTCTTGGAATAACAGGAATATTTTTCACATAAATGATTATTTAATATCCTGCACACATGCTGGAGCAGAGGAAAGGTTTCAGCGGTGTCCTGCTGTTTTCAGTTAGGTTTGCCCGCTGTTTCTCAGTTTCAGTCCAACACACAGCAAGTGCTCGAGCACGGAGGCAAACCGCTGAGAGATGATGGTTTGGTTGAACTTGGGTTCAGACTCATCAGTCACAACCAGAATGGAGCCAGTGTGCTGCAGCTTTAATTGGGTTTTTAGGGAATAATGTGGTAACCATCAAGTCTAAATGCAGATGATTGAGTGTGGCCTGAGAGTGAGGCTGGGGTCAAATCCATTTAGATTCCACTCAGGCCAGACAGACCAAACTGCATCCGGTGGAGGAGTAATTAACAAGCTTTAACGTCCATTTTGACAGAAGTTAAACCAAAACATTTTCCTGCGGTCTCCACTATCATTTAGACAGTAATTTAACAATCATTTTGGACAGAGCGGAGTGTGCAGACAGCCTATTACTGCGCAGGCCCACTGTTGACATGCATACTGCACATGTCACAATCATTTACTCTCATAATGTTCATTCCTTCTAGAACTGTACTTAAAGAGGCAGTTTAGCTATTCAGTATGGCACCACTGTAAAGTTAGGATGTGGCCAGAGACTTAAAAAGAGTGGTTGAAATTGAAGCAGCAGACACTAAGTTATCTTGACTTTTATGGATTAAGATAAAAAAAAAAACCTAGATCAAACACTTCCCATAATGCAACTCAGTGCAGTTTCAGTATGGTCACAGGGATTATTATTTTGGACTTGACAAAAGCACCCTGCAGAGCCACAGAAGTTATTATACAACTTCCACAGGCTGAGCAGGACTCCCTATATGGATCTTAATGTGTAGAAAGTGTGGAGTCACACTGACGCACACAAACTTCTACTGAGAACGTAGACACCGTCCAATATCAATATGGAGAGTAAAAAACTAAATCAATACAATATACATCAGCTGGTATTTGTTTTTAGCAACATGCTAACAATAGGTGTAGCTCTAGGGATAAAAAATGTCCGTCCACCTAGACCAAAAACTAATGACATTCCCATCAGCCTCAGCAGTACTTAGTGTTGAGTGCTAATTAGCAAATGTTAGCATGCTACCACGCTAAACCAAGAGGATGAGCTAGGTAAACATTGTAATTGTGAACATGTTAGCGTTTAGCTCAAAGGACCATAATCTACAGCCTCACAGAACTGCTGGCATGGCTGTCGGGCTCTAGTAGCACCACGAAAGGGTTTTTTTGTGTGAGTGGGTGTCTGTTTTCTCTCTCAGGCATGCACATGGGGACACAGATGCACAGTGTACAGTGTGTGCACTCGGGTGACACACATTGCTGCCAATGGTGTCACACTATTCCACTGATCTACAGGTGGCTGTAACGCACCACAAAACACAAAGGCCATGAAGAACAAGACCGCAAGCTATTGACCATAGATGTAAACAATTCAGGATTTAAAATACTTCAGCGTTGCAAATGTATGAGGAAGAAAATGCACTTGACATGTTTGTTAGAGCTCAAGCATGCAGACAATGAGTTTTGGTGAGTAACTCTGAAAGCAAACATAACTTTTCCACAGTCCACAGGCTTCCTTTAATTAGACATGTAATTCGATCTCGGCATAACTCGGGTAAAGGGACACGTCTAAGTTTTATGTTGAAACCTCTACACACAAACTTTTCTTGAAAAGAATCATTTAAAGTTGATAAAGAATTGTGTTTTCCCTGGTGGACAGATTATGTCATGAAGACAGTTTCTAAATTATCTCAAATATAAATTGTCAATTTATCACCCGACACAGCACTAACTCTATATCTTTAAAAAAATCTTTTTAGAAAGAAAAATGGATGACTAACTGCTCCCTTGGGTAACAAACTCAAAATAGAAGCGATGTCAAGAGACAAAGGGTGCCCTCTTTTTCAGAAACATTCTGTATCAGACAGAAAGGCCTTATGCAATGTGCACCATATGCTGAGAGAGAGAGGTCCGACACATGCCTGCAATAGCAGAAAGCACTTCTCTACAGTAAATGTTTCATTGAACTCAACATCAAGTGTTTCACTGGCAGACTGCAGTCACATAGTGTCTGCTAGTTTCTGACGGGCAAACTTTTGTTAGGACCTTATTAATGCTACCTGGAATTCAATTTAACAGTTTAAACAGAACAAAGACGACCATGCCTGCCAGCGTCTGATGGAAAGTTCTATAAATGGACAGTTTGAGGAAAAAGGACACCGGGAAAT